GTCTTTCTGACTTTTGTAGAGACCAGATCTGTTTCTGTATTGAATGCCCTTACTCTGGATTTTTCTGCCAGTCTCCTCATGATGTCTGATGACTTCTATTTTGTGCTCTCATAAACTAGAAGGCAGTCAGAATGTTTAGTTTCAGATTTAACATTTTTGGAAAGTACATTCCACAGAGTTTTCCTACTGTAGCACTTTAGTAGAAAATCAGTGTCTGGTGCTGCACTCTTGAAGAGATGCAGTATGATAAGAGGGTTCAGATTTTTCCGGCTTGATCTTTCGGTTGTAAAAATCATTATCATTTTTCCCTAATGTTTTCACCCACTGACAGTCATTGTCTGGATCATATACTTCAGTATATATTACAAACTAGTGGTATTTTTCATATTTTATTATACTTTTATATCATCTTATATTTATTATCTGAAGTTCTTCTTTCAATAAAATAAGGCATTTGAACTTAAAATGAGACACCTTTGTCAAACAGTTAAAATAATAAATATTTTTTGAAACTAGGTTAGGTAGTTACCATAAAATATAACTCACACAGGAAAGGCAGAATGAATTATTAATTTTTAACTTCCTACTTTCAAGTGTTAATGTTTTATTTATCAACTTATGTTGATAAATATATTGTTTTTACAAGAGTGGAAAGCTTTCTGACTTTCTGAGTACAATGGGAGCTATTTAGATTCTACATGCTTAATTCAGGGGTCTTCAAGACCGCCCTTAAGCTCAGTAATTGGATCAAACTCACAAAACTCAACAAACTGGCATGATGGCTCAGTGGCTAAATCCTCACCTTACATCCCATATGGGTGCTGGTTTGTGTCCTGGTTGCTCTACTTCCCATCCAGTTCTTGGTTTGTGGACTAGGAAAGCAGTAGAGAATGGTGTAAAGCCTTGGGATCCTGCACCCACGTGGAAGACTTGGAAGAAGCTCCTGGTTCCTGGCTTCAGATTGGCTCAGCTCTGACTGTTGTGGCCACTTGGGAAGTAAACCAACTGATGGAAGATCTTTCTCTCTGTCTCTCCTTCTCTCTGTAAATTTGCCTTCCCAATTTTAAAAAAAAAAAAAACTCAACAAATCCATTAAACTCACAATTATGATTTATTACAGCAAAACTAAACAGACTAAAATTGGTACCAGGAAAACACATATAACAAAAGATCTGAAATATGGCATGTACAAAGTTGTCATTGCCCTTTTCTGATGGAGTTGGTCAATTAGAGTTTGTTTCTCCTGACAGGTATATGTGCTGATAATGCATAGAATATTGTCAACCAGGGAAACTTATTTGAGCCTTGATGTGTAGAGATGTTGGAGAATTATCATGTAGCTATGGCTGACCACTCACTTGGCAGTGACTTAATCCAGCCCCTGCAGAGATTGATCGAATACCTCCTGGTCTACAGCTCCCATCGTCAATCACAACTCGGCATAGAATATCTGGCATGGCCCAAGGCTCAGACGGAGACTCTTGTCAGGAAGGGCACTTTGAGGGCTCAGACATTATCTCTAAGGAGCTGGAACAAAGGGTGAAATCTTTCATTGGGCAAAGTAAATCATTCATTATACAATTTATCAGTATGGGGAGATTTCACAAAATTAATGGAAAATGCCTTATATTGTAAAAATATGAGAAATCATGTTTATTCCTCAATATAAAGTTTTTCACTCAGGACAGTTTTGCAAGGAATAAAATGAGCCATTCAGTCCATTCTTGAAGAACTGAAGGTCCTGGAGTATAGCCATGCAGATTCAATCTTTTCATATTATTAATTGAAAAAAATGGCTACCCTCCAAAGTTTTATTGAAGTTTAGGAAATGCAAGCAGGTCAGAAGCAGCCTTTAATATGGCTGCTTAATAATTTTCCATGAAACATATTTCATGTGTGCTCTTTAGTGAAAAGCACTCCTCTGCTGGAGTTGTAGCCACTTTGTATTTCACTCTGCCGTAACCAATCCAGTATGCTGTCAAGCTTTTAATTTTCACAAATATGGTAAATGAGAAGTGTTACCTTAATAAATATTTAAATTGAATTTCTCCTATTACTAGTGAGGTTGAAGTAGTAGATTTTAAAACAAGAGAAAAATCCCTATGAGGTCTAAGAACCTGAGCATGTATTCCTTCATTTACTCTCACATGTCCATATACACAATGGAATAATATTCAGTTATATAAAAAAAAGAATAAAAACCTATGTTTCAGAACAAAAAAGATGGAGACCATTACACCTAGTGACATAAGCCAGTCCGCCAAGACAGATCTCTGATGTGTGGTAATACAGAGTGAAAGTATGATGCGTATGAACAGAGCTGCTAGTTTGAGATTTTATTATTGTCTATAGCTCTTGTCCATAGTCTCAAGGAATGGTGTTTTTTCTACTTACTGCTTGTTGAATAATTTGCTTAGCAGAGGATTAAGCTTGTGATTATAAGGTAAATTGAAAGCATGTAAAAGAAAAATCAGAAAGCATGCAGGAGGGACATAGAAGTGAAGGGAGGAAGGAAAGGGAGGTTATGAAATTCCATAATACTCTTAAAGCTGCATTTTTGAAAGACATGAGTGTTGTTCCCTTTTTTAACTTAATATTTTATAAAAGCATCTTTGTATCAAGCTTGGAACTAAGTATTTTCTTTTGTCAATAATAGTCTTCTCCTCAACTGCCATACTTCCTAATAAATTCAATTAAATAATGAACCGTCCAAGGCGATACAAGATGAATTGGGATTTGGAAGTTTATCTCTCCAAAACAAAGATTTTTAATTAATGACTTAGCTTCATTATACCAAGGAGAAGAACAGGAGGACTTAAAGAACAATACTAGCCTGATACCAGAAAGTTCCAAGGAAGATACACACCAAGTGTAGTGTAAACAAAGTCACAAGATGAATTGGGCATCCAATTCATCGGTTAAGAAGAAGTTGAGAAAGAGGAACAGCTGAGTCCCTAGCATGTAGTTCTGTTTTCATGCACACATACTAAAGATAACAATGATTGTCCATAGATACTGAAATGAAGCAGTTAAATAAAGAGAATTTCACACATAACTTGCAACAGGTTAATGGTCTGATGTAACTAAGAAGTTAGTTAATGCAATCAGTTTAAGCCACTGGACTATAGGTATGTAGGTTTGCCTCCCATGAAGGACTTGGAAATTGCCTGAAAATCAGCTCTGACCCTCAGTTACCAGCAATTACATGATAATCATCTACCGTTCCCCAGATCTGTCAAAAGCTCAGCAAACAAAAAAGGAATCTTCTAACTATGGTCATTCTAATTTTGTACTTGTTGAAAACTGTGGTTAGTGGTGCATTAAGCCTGTGATTATAGAATGAACTGAAAGTATGTTTCTATAAAAAATAAATAAAAAAGGAAGGAAGGAGGAGATTTGAGGGAGGGGAGAAAGGGAAGTATAGTCATCTTAGAATTATGCCTATGAAGTAGATGAGATCTATTTTTGTATCAATAAAAATTTAAAAAATAGGTTTTCTTTTCAGCACAAGCTGATATAAATGGAGCTAAGTGCCTGTGACAAGATAGCTTCTATTATTATTATTATTATTATTATTATTATTATTATTATTAGGTCTTTCTTCCTGGAAAAACAGCACGGTTATTTTCTAGGACTGGAATTTTAGAGTACCCAAGAGTCCCCAAATCCAGTCCTAGTTACATGTTTTCTTTCAGCTTTAGAAACATCCCTTCACTCCCAAAGAAACTGTTGGACATATCTAGACGATGGGATGCTGGACTAGCTGACAGTGTCTGTATCAACAATGTTGGGGCACACTTTAAATAACAGATGATGGAGTTAATGACTGCTTATGAAGGAATATACTATTGTAATAATATGGGGCAAATCAGTCGGGGGTGGGAACTTGGTGGGGTGGGAAAATCCCAGATTCTATGGAATTGCACCATAAAATTAAAAAATTTAAAGAAGATGTTGATGAAGATATCATGCCCTAAAAAAAGAAAAAGGAAGGAAAGGAAAAAGAAAAAAAAAAAGAAACATCCCTTTACTAAGTTGTATACCCCAGGTATACCACCACACTCTTCACCCATAAGTCATGGGAGTTTTAAAAGCAGCCTTCATTCCCCTGTGGCTTGGAGCCTTGCAGTTTCCTCATGTCCATGGTGTTCGACTGTTTTATATTCTCATTGATGTCTTCCATTTTTCATGTCATGTAACCTGTGAAAGTCTCGTTGTGAAAGCCCCATTGTGTATTAACTAAACCAGCATCCAAATACATTTGAGCACTATTTCTGAGCTTAACACAGGCTAACTAGAGGCAACTTTGGCAGGCATGAATTGTCATTAAAACAAACGTGTTGTGCTATTTGAAAAAAAAAATATATATATATATACATACATACACACACATGGCCTAGCATGGTAGCCTAGTGGCTGTAGTCCTCATCTTGCACACCTGGGATCCCATATGGGTGCTGGTTTTAATCCTGGTGGCCCCACTTACCTTCCAGCTCCCTGCTTGTGGCCTGGGAAAGCAGTGGAGGATGGCCCAAGCCTTGGGACCCTGCACCCGCATGGGAAACCCAGAAGAGGTTCCAGATCCTGGCTTCGGATCAGCGCAGTTCTGGCCATTGCAGCCACTTGGAGAGTGAAACACTGGATGGAAGATCTTTTTCTCTGTCTCTCTTCCTCTCTATATATCTGACTTTCCAATAAAAATAAAACACATCTTTAAAAAATTACATATAGCCATAGAAAGTAACGACTAGATTAAGGATCTATGGGGATACATAAGGCTGCAATAAACTGCCACAGAGCTTGCATTCTCATTGCTTCCCAAGTCAGGAACATCATCGGTTCCACTGTGTATTTAAGCCTACTCCTCCTACTTCTCTGAGTCATATTTAGCCATTTCTAGTCTGAAGGGTCTTGGTCACTTCATCACCCACGCCCTTTCATTTCCTGGTGATAAAACCGGTTGAGTTCAATAGAACAACCTCACCTCCTCTCCACACCACTGGGGAAGTGTCATTGTTAGGCCCTTTCAAACCATCAGCCTTCCCTTCCCTTCTCAGGGGCGTTCCTTGACTTGAAGCTGGGTTTCGAGCTAACAGGACAGTGCACACGAGACAGCGCTCTCCATGGATCTGCCTTATTACCACGGCCCTCTGACCAAGCAGGACTGTGAAGCGTTGCTGCTCCAGGAAGGCGTGGATGGCAACTTCCTGCTAAGAGACAGCGAGTCCATACCAGGAGTCCTGTGCCTCTGTGTCTCGTGAGTAGCCTTGGCTCACACACACATGACAGCCATATAGCAAAGGGATTGTATTTCTCTCTTACTTTGCAGTCCTGAAGATCTGGACACAGCCAGGAGAGGATGGAAGGAGTGTGTCTGTCCATACTGTTCCATGCAGTCTTCCATCCCTGCTGTAAATGCCACAATCCTGGTTTCTGTAGTATTGGAATCGGGGCTGTAGGGGAAGAGAAGGGTTGCAGAGAAAATGGGAGGAGCAGAGAATTGAGAGAAAGTAAAGACGCCGACAAGTTCCTCTCCTCCAGAAGCCTATGTATTATAGAAAAAGTAAAGGGTTGTTTATGAAATTCTCATCACAAAGCCTATGTATGCTGCTGCATCTACTTGCATTCCTTAAAACTACTAGTATTTCATGTTGGGTTAGGCTTGCAAAGAGTTTCAGAAGCAGTCCATGTTTATAACTGAAGAAACATCTGAATTTCTCAAGCATCTTGTTTGTGTTGACTTATTTGGCATTCCAGGGTCCGAGTTAAACACGAGATTCCAAGGTAGAGCAGCAGAACTACCCTGCTGAAGGCATCTGTGCTAATGCCCTCTTTAGAGCTCAATCCCCAAGAGGTGCCAGTAGAAAAGTCCTCTCTTTGCATACTTTGTCTTTGTAGAGACCACCAACATTTTTTATCTACCTTCTGTAGGAATTAGAACTCAATACCTTATGTTAAAACTGAGAACTTATTCCATGACACTTGTTGAATCATGGCAAGAAAGACTCAGGACCATTCTGACAGGAACAGGATCCACTCCTGGGAATTGATCTAAATAAAATGCAATCAGCATTATGAGAGAGTAATTTGTACACTCCTGTGCATTGTAACCATGTTCATAACAGCTAAGAACCCAGATGTGGGTGACAGGATAATGGGACATGGATGACAGGATAACGAAAATGGATCCACGCCAATAAAGACTTGCAGTGGGGGAGAGAAAATAGGTGCAACTCAGAACACACATGGGCTAGTGGGAACTGCCGATTAAGTAGTAAAGTGGAAATGAGGGAGTGGAAATTGTGGGGGATGTAAAATAGGGGTGAGGGAGATTTTTGGCTAAACCAACAGAACAGAATTGTTGCTGAAGATGGGCCAGGGGATTAGACATCGCCTGGGGAATGGCAAAGAATGGGAAACCTGGTCAGCTCTGACTCGGCTTGCATGGAAGTTGCTTCACTCTGTGGGTGAACTTTCGTGTTTCTCAGAAGTAGGAAGCTGTAACGACAAAAGCAGCCACCGACACCAATAACAAAGAGGTTCAAAAAACCCATGAAATGTGGAAATGAAAGATAAGCTTATGTTGGCATCCGAAATTGAAGTCTATGCATAGCTTGTTGATAACATGCATTTTTCTAAGAGCTCTTGAAGATCCTTTATAGAATATGAAGGAACATGTCTCTTTCTTAAAATAATACGGAAAATTCAAATGAGAAAGATATGCATTATCAGTCTGCATTCTCAAGTTACAATTGATATGGAGAAATACTTCCTTATATTTCTGAACCATTGATAATTCCTCTTTTGAGAATTACATATTCACATATTTTTTGAGCGATTTATCCTCTTTCTACTTCTTGTTTCCAAATTCAGTGTGTGGTAATAAGACATGTCCTCTAAACAAACACACACATGAAGAAACACACATGAAGAAACACACAAAGACTGATCTAATATCAACTTCCCATTGACAGAAGCTAGTTACACATTAAGGAGACAGGACACCATTTTCACGTGTGGCACAATCCTAAAAATCATGGATGGTCCCGTGCTAGGAAAAGTATTCATTCAAGTATGCATTCAAAGACTACAAAATGCAATTAAGCATGCATACACAGGCCTGCATCTGCAAACTTATAAAAATACAGGGTTATGTGGCTACCTCCTTAACCAAAACCAAATGCAGCATTAAGAATTCCTGTTAAGGTTATTGGTGAATCAATAATACTCACCATAAGCACCATGTAGCATTTATCAGAAGGTGCTGACAAGCACGACTAGCACACACACAATGTAAATACAATAAAATAAGGGTACAAAATTATCATTTGACATTATGGTGCTTTTATACCTATAAAAGACAGGAGATGGGCCCAGCACGATAGAGTGGTGGTTGAAGTTCTCACCTTGCATACACCGGGATCTCATATGGGCACTGGTTCTAATCCCAGCAGCCCCACTTCCCATCCAGCTCCCTGCTTGTGGCCAGGAGAGCAGTCAAGGACGGCCCAAAGCTTTGGGACCCTGCACCTGCGTGGGAGACCCAGAAGAAGCTCCTGGCTCCTGGCTTTGGATTGGATCAGCTGCAGCCGTTGAGGCCGCTTGGGGAGTGAACCATTGGATGGAAGATCTTCCTCTCTGTCTCTCTTCCTCTCTGTATATCTGACTTTCCAACAAAAATAAAATAAATCTTTTTTTTTTTAAAAGAAAAAGCTAAAAGCTAAACTGCTAAAAATCTAAGGAAGATCAGCAAGGGCATATATTAATAAAATTAAATTGTAAGAGACAAGTATTTAGCACAGCAACGAAAAGGCCTACACAGCCTATATCAGAGTGGTTGGAAATCAGGTTAAAGTAGTTAGGTGATTACCACCAACGTGGGAGACCTGGATTGAGGTCCAGATGCCTCGCTTCAACTTGGCCTACTGCAGGAATTTGGAAATCAATTCTCTCTCTCTATCTCTTTCTCTCTCAAATAAGAAAAATTTTTAAAAACCTACAGTTGATGTTATAAAAAAAAATGTAATTAAACAAGTCAAGATCTTTCCTATATAGAAGCAATAACCAGGGCCTGGGGCTGTGGCCTAACGGCTAAAGTCCTCACCTTGAATGCGCCAGGATCCCATATGGGTGCCGGTTCGTGTCCCGGCAGCTCCACTTCCCATCCAGCTCCCTGTTTGTGGCCTGGCAAAGCAGTCAAGTATGGCCTAAAGCCTTGGGACCCTGCACCCGTGTGGGAGACCTGGAAGAAGCTCCTGGCCTCTAGCTTTGGATCGGCACAACACCGTCTCTTGAGGTCACTCAGGGGAGTGAATCATCGGACAGAGGATATTTCTCTCTGTCTCTCCTCCTCCTCTATATATCTGACTTTGCAATAAAAATAAATTAATCTTTAAAAAAACAATAACCAGTAGGAAAAGAAAATAGCACATGTACAGCAACAACAAAAAAGAAACCATAGCTTTGAATGTAATATGAAATGTAATGAAGTATGTAAAGAAAACTGAATATCTGCTGGGAATATTACTGGAAGACTCAAATAAATGGAAGGACTCAATTGAGAAATGCATCAGTTTTTTCCTAAATTGTAAGTTCAGGATATTTCTAGTAAAAAAAAAAAAAAAAAGAAGAAGAAGAAGAAGAAGAAGCAACATCAGAATACTTTTTTTCAAATGGATTTATTTATTTTTATTGGAAAGTTAGATACACAGAGAGAAGGAGAAATGGGAAGAACTTCCATCTGCTGATTCACTTCCGAAGTGGCCACAGTGGCAATCTGAAGCCAGGAGCCGGGAGTTTCTTCTGGGTCTCCCATGCAGGTGCAGGGTCCCAAGTTTGGGTCATCCTCCACTACTCTCCCGGGCCACAAGCAGGGAGCTGGATGGGAAGCAGCGCCACCAGGACATGAACTGGTGCCGTATGGGATCTTGGAGAATATAAGGCAGAGACTTTAGCCACTTTCACACCAGGCCCCAGAATACTTTCAATTTGCTGAAAGGATAGTCAAGTGCATTCTTGTAGAACTTGCCAAAATGTCTAGATTTTTTTTAAGGGAAGGGAAAGCTAGCTCTACCAACAATTATAATGTATGATAAAGGCATAGAAATCACTAGGGTGGTTAAAAGAGTTTGGTAGTGAAAGATCAATGGAACAGAATGCAGAGTCCAAAATTCAGGTCCAACACAAATGACATTTACCATCTGCTAATGAGAGCATCTCAGGTCCACAGTGAAAGACTTCTAATAGACGCTTGGCTGGTGACTTAGAAAAATAATGACTAAATCCCTTGCTATTTCTTAAAGTAAAATCCATTCAAAATAGTTCTTATATATCTTTCTATAATACTGAAACTATTTACTCATAGAAAAACACTGTTAAAAATGCCTTAAACTGGGAAATCTTTTCTAAACTAAATAGAAAATTTAGAAAACTTGAAAGATTGATAGATATCAGATGATTCCAAAAGTTTGTAGAGAAATGGTAATATCCTTTAGTTTAAATTTCCACAAACTTGGGCCTGGCGCGGTGGCGCAGTGGTTAAGGTCCTTGCCTTGCACGCCCCAGGATCCCATATGGGCGTCGGTTCTAATCCCAGCAGCCCCGCTTCCCATCCAGCTCCCTGCCTGTGGCCTGGGAAAGCAGTCGAGGACGGCCCAAAGCTTTGGGAACTTGCACCCGCAAGAGGCTCCTGGCTTCGTATCGGCATAGCATCGGCCGTAGTGCTCACTTGGGGAGTGAATCATCAGAAGGAAGATCTTCCTCTCTGTCTCTCCTCCTCTCTGTATATCTGCCTTTCCAATAAAAAAAAATAAAATAAATCTTTAAAAAGAATTTCCACAAACTTGTAGAAACCCCCTCATATGACTATTGTAAAAAATTATTGGAAATATCTGCAAAGATTATTGACAAGCTGATAGAATAAAATGAAGTTTGTAAACATATAAATGCTAGGAGAATCAAAGTATATAATAATCTCTCATCAGATGAATAGATATTTTCCCCCATCTAGCAATTGTCTTCACTCTGTTGATTGTCAACTTTATTTTGTAGTAGTTTCCTAGTTTGACATGATCGCCTTTGTCTCTTTTTACTTTTATTGCCCATGCTTTTGCTGCCTTATCCCAAAATTTTGCTCATGCCAATTTCCTCATGTGTTTCCCTTAGGTTTTCTTCTAAGCATGTAAGTTTCCAGTTTTATATATAAATTTGATACTTTTTTAAAGATTTATTTTTATTATTTTTTTATTGGAAAGGCGG